GCTCAAATATTGAGTTTATCCAGATCGCAGCTTCCTCCACACTTTGCTTCATACAAATTACCACAGTCTCCAGTATCCGAGCTTTCTTGTTAGCAGATTTAACCTCTGCCTCCAGTTTTTCAAGCTCAGCGGCATGTCTCTGCAGATTTTCTGATAATCTAATATTTTTTTGTTGAAGCGTGGCCATTTTCTCATCCTGCTGCACCTTTTCCCTTTCAGAAGTTAGCTCAGACTCCAGCTGCCTAGCTCCCTCATTGGTATGTCCAAACGCTGCATCCATTTCCTGAGGCACAGCAGCAGAACATGCATTTCCAGAACAGTTTGCAGCTATGCTACCAGATGTAACTTCCATAGTATTTTCTACATTAGCTTGCGTCGACATGTCGGCTTTAACTGAAGGCACCACGTTTAACTTACCTGATTTGCCAACAAAGAAAGAGGAGTTGTTGCTAATTTAAGGGAGCGTCCTAAGGGCAACAATAGTTTGTTCGTCGGTTTAAAACACAAAGCTTTATTTTCAACAAAAAAAGCTTTTTTTCCTGATGACTGGACTGATTTGCTCTGTGGGGGAAAAAAACTGTTTCTCTAATCTCAAGGACGGAACTCGAGAGACACACACCCTACAAGAGGTTTGTAGAAATGGAATGACTTGATGCCTTCACTCTATAGACCCAGAGTCAGACAATGATGATGTCACAATGGAATCAATGATGTCATCGAACAGGTGGGCAGGCCATGTTGCCTAGCAACAAACTTAACTCCTCCCACATGCTGGCTGTAGGTGTTATATTCAATACATACATCTTTATTTATAAAGAACTTTAAAAATATCTGTGATCAAGGTACTTTACACTGATAAAACTAATCCATCTTAGTGGATGTAACACAAAAACAGATTTTCTAGAATCATTTAATGAAATAGAAACAATATAATCAAACTAATAGAATAGTTAAATAAGTAAAGCAAAAGGGTAAAATAATAAGAGCCAACATCTCAAACTGAGTTAAGAGCCAAGGAAAAAAGTTTGTATAGAGGAGCTAAAAACAGCAGGTAAGTCTGCTGTCTAGAAACCTCTTTGATATGGGATTTAAATGACAGGTCCTGATCAAAAACAACACCAAGATTTTTTACTTTACTATCTGAAATCAGTTTCATCCCATCCAAATGAAGTGACTGACTAATCAGTTTGTTTTCAAAGACTCTGGTCCAAAGACTATAACTTCTGTTTTGTCTGCAGTCAGAAGCAGAAAGTTAAGAGTCATCCAGGTTTTTATGTCTTCAGACATGCCTGTAAAATCCCTATGTAATGGATTAGCTTCATCTGGATTTATAGACAGATATAGCTGGGTATCATCAGCATAACAGTGGAAATTAATCCCATGCTGTCTAATAATTCTACCAATTGGGAGCATGTATAAAGTAAAGAGAATTGGTCCTAGCACTGATCCCTGTGGTACTCCACAGGTAACCTTTGAGCATGAGGAAGATCTGTCATTAACATGAACAAACTGAATTCGCTCAGATAGATAAAAATTAAACCAGTCTAGTGCTGTTCCTTTAATTCCAAAAAAATATTAAAATCTTTCTAAAAGAATATTATGATCAACTGGATCAAATGCAGCCCTGAGATCCACCAGGACGAGCACAGATACAAGTCCATTATTTGAGGCCATGAGAATATCATTAGTGACTTTCACCAGAGCTGTTTCAGTGCTATCATGAGCTCTAAAGCCAGACTGAAACTCTTCAAAAAGTTAATTATGGTGTAAGTGATCGCACACTTGTTTGGCAACTACTTTCTCAAAAATCTTAGATAAGAAAGGAAGATTGGATATAGGTCTATAATTGACCAAGTCATCTGGGTCAAGAGACGGATTCTTAAGCAGAGGTTTAATTACAGCAACCTTAAAAGCCTTTGATACACATCCCTGTAATAGAGATAGATTAAACACATCTTAAATGGAGGGGGAGATCAATGGGAATACCTCCTTAAATAACCTGGTTGGAACTGGATCTAACATACAAGCTGAAGGCTTAGATGAAGACATTTTGCTAACTCTGAAAGTTCAACTGGATCAAAGCAGTCTAAACCCGGTTTATATTCTATGGCTACCTTAGATGCTGCCCCACCCTCCAGAGATAAACCAATCGCAGATAGTAGAGTGCTAATGATCTTATTTTTAATAAGATCAATCTTATTTATAAAGAATCCCATAAAATCATTACTTCTAAGAGCAGGTGGAATGGACGGTTCAACAGAGCTATGGTTCTGGGTGAGTTTAGCAACTGTATCAAAAAGAAATCTAGGATTATTCTTATTCTCCTCTATTAATGAGGAGAAGTATGCTGCTCTTGCTTTACAAAGGCTCCTCTTATACAGCAGTAAACTACACTCACCGGCCACTTTATTAGGTACCCCATGCTAGTAACGGGTTGGACCCCCTTTTGCCTTCAGAACTGCCTCAATTCTTCGTGGCATAGATTCAACAAGGTGCTGGAAGCATTCCTCAGGGAGTTTGGTCCATATTGACATGATGGCATCACACAGTTGCCGCAGATTTGTCGGCTGCACATTCATGATGCGAATCTCCCGTTCCACCACATCCCAAAGATGCTCTATTGGATTGAGATCTGGTGACTGTGGAGGCCATTTGAGTACAGTGAACTCATTGTCATGTTCAAGAAACCAGTCTGAGATGATTCCAGCTCTATGATATGGCACATTATCCTGCTGAAAGTAGCCATCAGAAGTTGGGTACATTGTGGTCATAAAGGGATGGACATGGTCAGCAACAATACTCAGGTAGGCTGTGGCGTTGCAACGATGCTCAATTGGTACCAAGGGGCCCAAAGAGTGCCAAGAAAATATTCCCCACACCATGACACCACCACCACCAGCCTGAACCGTTGATACAAGGCAGGATGGATCCATGCTTTCATGTTGTAGACGCCAAATTCTGACCCTACCATCCGAATGTCGCAGCAGAAATCGAGACTCATCAGACCAGGCAACATTTTTCCAATCTTCTATTGTCCAATTTCGATGAGCTTGTGCAAATTGTAGCCTCAGTTTCCTGTTCTTAGCTGAAAGGAGTGGCACCCGGTGTGGTCTTCTGCTGCTGTAGCACATCTGCCTCAAAGTTGGACGTACTGTGCGTTCAGAGATGCTCTTCTGCCCACCTTGGTTGTAACGGGTGGTTATTTGAGTCACTGTTGCCCTTCTATCAGCTCGAACCAGTCTGGCCATTCTCCTCTGACCTCTGGCATCAACAAGGCATTTCAGCCCACAGAACTGCCGCTCACTGGATGTTTTTTTCTTTTTCAGACCATTCTCTGTAAACCCTAGAGATGGTTGTGCATGAAAATCCCAGTAGATCAGCACTTTCTGAAATACTAAGACCAGCCCTTCTGGCACCAACAAGTCACTCAAATCACCTTTCTTCCCCATACTGATGCTCGGTTTGAACTGCAGGAGATTGTCTTGACCATGTCTACATGCCTAAATGCACTGAGTTGCCGCCATGTGATTGGCTGCTTAGAAATTAAGTGTTAACGAGCAGTTGGACAGGTGTACCTAATAAAGTGGCCGGTGAGTGTATTTATCCTAACTAGGTAGAATTCCCGTAGGCCGGTGGAGCGATATTTTCTGTCCAGTTTCCTAGCAAGACATAGAATAACACAGAGATGACATGTGTTGTGAATTGGTGCTATAAAAATAAACTGAACTGAATTGAATAATATCAGAGGATGCTGGAAAACAGACAGACTGGATAGCAGCAAATGTGCAATAGTTGTCTAAATAGTATTTATAGTAAAATAGTTTTTATAGACAGCCATGCATACAGTTTACAAGCAAAAAAAACTACAAAAGAATAAAAAAAAAAAACAGTTGATTTTGGGGGGTTATTCTTTAAGATGTCTGACCTGTCGATCTGATGCCCTCAGGTGTTAAAACCTCTGATTTTTTACATTTTATATTATTGAAAAACATTCAACAGTTCAATTGAAACAATAAAACTCCCTCTAATCATACCTTATAATTTAATATCTTATTTTATTACTGCAAAAAAAATAAAATAAAACTTCCTTTTGTCTCTCTTCATCAATAAGAATACTTTGGGTTTTGTTGACATAAAGTCATCAAATGTAAAATAAAGAAATCTCATTTTATCTTTAAAAAAAAAAAGAAAAAAGGAGCAGATATGATTGAGTGAGCCCCAGAATAATTCTGCATCTTGGTCAGTACCTTTCACTGTATGAGGCCTCTGGTATCCATCAGAGTTACAGCCTAGATGGATGGATGTGTGACGGCTGGATGGAGGATTTAGGAGGGGATTGCCAATGCCCTGAGGATAAAGCAAGAGGGACCTAACAAACCCTTTGCCCTCCCCCTGTTGACTCCCCAGAGACCCTATTATACACCTCTGGAGTGGGGGGGGCAGGGATGCGCACACACATGCATAAAAACATGCACGCTTCTACTTATCCCCAAACACTCCTCCTCTGGCACACAAATAAAAATCCATCGGGGCCCGTTCTTTGACATTGATTTGTTTTTCTTCGCCCTTCCTCTCCCCCCATCATTTTTTCATCTCTCCTGTAGCTCGAGTTAGACTCCCCACTGATACACCACACAGTTATCCCCCCCCCCAGCCTCAGCTGAGGAGCAGGACTGACAGTGGAGGGGGCATCTTTCAGAGAAATAGAGATGAGACGGGGGGAGGAAGGCATGGAGGGGAGAAAGATTGACTTGCTGGCTGACGATGGAATGCTTCGCTCCCATCCCCGCTGTCCTGCTCCCACACATAGATCAGCAGCTGCCAGAATCAATATGAATCATAACCAATATTTGCCCACCGTCGCTGAACTTCAATCATCTCCCCAAGTGATTCAGTGAAGAATTGCAGCTGCATCACTTTGCACAAAAAAAAAACAAAACACAGCCACCTTTAGCGATCTAGAACTGAGACACTTTCTGCTTCCTCTCTGTCCTGCGTAGACTTCGAAGAGCCGGAGGATCCATCAACACGCTCCTTTTTCTCCGAAATTATCTCCTCCATCTCCGATGTTAAGTTCAGCCACAACGGGCGCTACCTGATGACAAGGGACTACCTCACTGTCAAGGTGTGGGACCTCCAGATGGAGAACAAACCACTGGAAACCTACCAGGTGACGTATTTTTCTTCTCCATCCTCCCAGCAAGGCAGAGGCGCAGTAACCAATGTACACTAACGGATGGCCAAAGCAGGTAGACGCCAGAAAGTCGCGGTCAATCTACACTGTTCCAAAAGGAAAATGAAAAACCACAACAACAATTTCAAGACTAACTATACTTTCCTGCAGCCTTTGCCAACAAATAGACACGTATTTTAGCAGCCATTCTGTCTAAATGAAAAGTCCAGGCTTGAGTTCTCAGGCGAACATCTTACTCATTGTCTTACCGACTTTTATCTATAATCGTTCTGCATAAAATTAATATTTACATGTACTAATATCTACATTAAATGGATTACTTATTGTTAAAGTAGTTATTTATCTCTGATTTCACTGAAGATTCATAGATGACTTGCAGAGACATAATTTTCTCTTTACCACATAAGACAAAATCCAGTTCTGAAAAGAGGATGAATTTGGTCTTTCTCATCTTTAATGATAGTATATTGATGTGCATAATTAACTGCAGTGTTTTTGTTGTTACTTTACGTATGAAAAATAAAATGTTAAATAGGTTAGAACATTCTACTTGAGAGTATTTGAGCTGCGCGGTGCAAAAGTGTGTCTGACGCGCGTTGGGCGGAGCTTCACTATCCTTTCTCTGCCTTGCAGCTATATTTGCTGTGATCAGTGGGAATAAAGTAGTTTTAATAGTAGTTTTTAAGTGAGAAAATACACCTGAAAACGTAATCAGTGCAGTCAGTTCATTCAGATTATCATCCTGCCTTCCAATATTTTTTCTGTCGGAGCCGCTCAGACCCCCACATACCAGCGGTGCGCCGACAGTAGGAATCCCTTCATCAGCAGCCTCTGGCCGGGTCGCCTCCTCGCGGTTCACGGCGGCAGCTGGTAGGTGTTTTTCATCTAAATAATCCAAACTGCAGGCAGCAGGATAATAAAAGCGAACATATTCTGCTGGCAGATTTCTGCATTTTAAGTTAATTTAGGCGTCAATATACTGTTTCAGAGGAGTGATCACAGCGCTCTGATAATCAGCGCTGTGTCTCTCTCCCTGCCAGCTCCCAGATCAGCTTCTCTGATTGGTTGACGCAGCGCCTCGAGCAGCAAAAATTCAATTTTTCCATCTATAGCAGAAGCGCGTTTGCGGCGCGTCAGATGCTTAAAGGCGCCCGACGCGCTGCTTCAGCTGCTCAAAACGTGCCGCGGGACCTTTTGCTGCGCCTTGTCGCGCGTCAACAATTGACTTTGCACGTAAACTCGCTGCTTCTGTCGCGCCAGCTGCGTCCAGTGTGATGCAGCATTAGTCATTCATTGCGTTCGCCTGTCTGCTAAGCTCAAAACAACCGCGCCTGGCTTGACGGAGAAACCAGGAGAACAGCTGTGCATATTTACGACAGTGCACTTTTACTTTCGCCCTCTGGGGGGAGCCTCGCTGGAAAATCAACACCGGTTGCATAGTATACCTTTAAATGTAAATTGTCTTGTTTCATTGGCAAAGTCTCTCACTTTCGTCCTCAATTGGAGAAAAAATGCACTTACTTTAAGAAAAAATTACTTACTTAGATTTCCATTTTTTGCAGTGGAAAAAATGGTAGGGGTTCCCAAAGGGGGTCAATGATTGGCCAAGGGTGGCCATGGCCACCCCTGGCCCCCCATCTAGCTCGACCCCTGCAGCTAGGAGCTCAATCTCGACTTAGATCGAAACAAAACTGATTGATTTGAAGATAATCAATCAGGATAATACTGTTTCTCCATCGCTCTGCTGGTCTGTAACTTCGTCATCTTCAACAATTAGAGGCCATATTGAATCAAGTACCTATTAGAGGAAAGTGTTGGTAGAGAAACAGCCTGAAGGAAAGAACCTCCCAACATGTGGTCATTAGGGTCAGATCCACCCTGTCTGATCCTGTGGCGGGTCATGATTGATAGGGTCATCAGGGGAGTTCTTCCTCCTCCCGCTGCCTAACATCTTAGCATAGATCACCAGAGCCAGAGGATTAGTGAGCGTGCAGCTTAAGGCAGGGGAGCTGAGGGTTTTCTGATGTAAGACGTTTTCTCACGAGAATCTAAATTGTTTTTCTTCAGGTCCACGACTACCTGAGGGGCAAACTCTGCTCTCTGTATGAGAACGACTGCATCTTTGACAAGTTCGAGTGCGTCTGGAACGGATCGGACAGGTGAGACGTTTCATTCGATCGTCACAGAGCTCAGTCAGGCGAATCCATGCGGAAATCATTGTGACCCTCATCTTGATTTTTCTTTTCCTTCTCATTAAGCGTCATAATGACCGGTTCCTACAACAATTTCTTTCGAATGTTTGACCGGAACACCAAACGGGACGTCACGCTGGAGGCGTCCAGAGAGAACAGCAAACCTAGAGCTATTCTGAAGCCTCGAAAGGTACGTCACTGCGTATAAAGCTGGTAAAGATTCTCAGTCATCCAGATCATGTCATTCCAAAAAAGTAAAAAAACAATCCATGGACTTTGTTTCCAAGTTTGAAGACGTTTCACTTCCCATCCAGGAAGCTTTTTCAATTCAAAATGTCAGAAATAGCGTTGGGTTCGAAGCTTTATACAGTAGCCCAACGAAGCCTTCTGTTTGCTTAGAAAACATCCAAATTGAAACGGACGAATGGTTGGGGTTGCCATGATCCCTTTCCGCCATCATCGCAACCCCAACCCCTTTACAGGGGAACAGAAGACCTCGCATTTTCAGCCAGGCCAAGAATTCCCTTTAACAACCCCCCTTTCAGAGACATAGACAGGTATGGGGCATTGTAGGCGAAGAACAGAGACAAATTACCCCCATTTCAAAGGGGTGGACCCATTCGTCTGTTTCAATGTTATGTATGTATGGATATATATATATACATATATATTTTTGTCTTCTAACCAAATTGATTTTCTTTTAATCAGGTTATTTATTTGTAATTTTATAACCTGAAACATAAAAATTTGAACATAACTCTAATTTTTAACATTAAACATTACGTGCTAACACTTAATCAGTACTTTAGTAGCCTTTTTTATTCTCACTTTAGCAATTCCTTAAATAACTACTTTTTTCCTATGTAACAAATGGTTAAAGTAGTTTTTAGGGATTCTTTTCCCCCTTTTGCATAACAGAGCAACAATAACCTTAATGATATTAGTTTAGTTTTGATCCAAATCTAAGATTAGTGATAATAAATATGATGTCTAAGGTGGTTGAAGTGTTTCTGTAGATAAATCTTACCTTTAACTAACGCCACAGTTTGTTACAAGTTACAAATGATCACATTCTGCAACGGCAATAGTAAGAGAAGGGAAACAAAAAACCTTGTGGTTCGTTGTCTTTTGACTTTCCTCACAGCACCGCAGTGAAGAAAGCCATCAATTAACAAAAATGAAAGTTTGTTTTTCAAAACTTTAAAATGTTGACTTTAGATTAAAATAAAACCAGGAAGAAATTGTCTTATCTTCACTGAAAAAATGTAAATCTAAATAATTCATTTCTTCTTAAAATAAGTGCATTTTTTTTTTTTAAATTGAGGATGGAAGTGAGACACTTTGCCAATGGAACAAGACAATTTACATTTGAAATAAGAAAAAAACTATTGCATTGTCTTATTTCAAGTGCATTTATCTAATTATCTTATTTTAAATGTAAAAATACTCATTCCATTGGCAAACTATCTTATTTACCTGCTCAAATTAAGGGTAAATACACTTAATTTAAGAAATTTTTACTTACGTTTTTGCAGTGTTGTCAAGGATTCTAAAGCAGCCCTAGTCCCGCCTCCTCGACTGTGCTGAATGTGTGACAGTTAAATTTAATTCACTGTGTGCTCATGCACAGAACCATGAAATAATCATATTCCCTTCATAAAATCATTAAATTTGGTTATTTCCAGTTTAAATATATTAAAGACGCATTTAAATAATTAAATTATAATGATTAATTTATTGTATTGTGGCCCTCATGACTTTCCATATAAGGAAGGCTCACCAGAGGCTGACAGAAATACTGAAGGAAACAGCGCCATCTGCTGGTATTTTTCTGCATGTGGCAACTAGGATTTTTATGAAGGTGGATTATTTAAAGGTCCTAATGCCAGTCTGTAATCACCCAAAAACTTTAGATGCTTTCTAGACAGCTGCAGATGATTAAATACAATCAGTTTAAAATGTGCAGATTTTAGGAACCATTAAAATCAAGTGTTGATTAAATGCAATTATTAAATTAATGGTTCTATTATAATATATATCAGTCATGGAGGGTTGCAGCTTCTTCTTATGGAAGAGGATTAGGGCCACTGAAAAAAAAAAAGTTAACTGATTTTTAAATTTTATTTCAGTTTAACATGGGGAAAAAGTCAGAATTCTGACTTTTTTCTCAGAATTCTGACTTTTTTCTCAGAATTCTGACAGCTAACAAACATGTTAGCATCAAGCCATAGCCATGTCTGTTTTATAGACTAGCTCTCTTGTTTTAATGACCTTCTGCTCCTCCATTAATGAGGGGACCCCTCGGGCACGTAAAAAGTTGCCTAATTCCGCCATTTTCCACCAATGTGTCACTGGCCATCTCAAACAACTCACATCTTTGTCAGTGAAGCTGAGTGCTCCCACATCGCTTCCTTCATGGTATCCATCTACATTAAGATCCAAAATTATGAGATTAAAGTCAGAATTCTGACTTTTTCCCATATTAAACTGGAAAAAAAAATTAAAAATCAGTTAACTTTTTTTTTCCAGTGGCCGTAATCCTCTTCCGTATATTCTCGATTATATCTCCCCTAAAAATGTGATTTCTTTTTAGTTGTTCAGAAAAAATATGATAAAAAAAAAACATCATTGCTGTTTCTTCAATGCCAAATCTGATGTAGAAATAATAAATACAGATAGAACATTGAAAAGATTCCTGACATAAGAGAATGTCAAACAGCTGAGTGTCCCTCTGCGCTTTCAGGTTTGCGTCGGTGGGAAACGACGGAAGGATGAGATCAGCGTAGACAGCCTGGACTTCAGCAAGAAGATCCTCCACACCACGTGGCATCCGCACGAGAACATCATCGCCGTAGCGGCCACCAACAACCTCTACATCTTCCAGGACAAAGTGAACTAATAAGGCAGCCCGCCCCCCCCCATTGACTGTGGACCCACACAGACGTGCGGGGCTCCTGTCTTAACCCCCCCCCTCCCCTCCCCTCCCCCATCCTCAGACTCTATTTTAAAAGAGTCAAGTGTTATGAGGAATTGAACACTGAAACAGATCAGATGCATTTCTAGAAAACGACTTCTGGTTTCATTCATGCGGAAAACCGAGGGATTGAATCCTGTGGGTTTATGCAACACGAAGGATCGTTGCATGAATGATGTTATGTAGCAGCCCTCTGGACCCTGAAGAAACAGGCGGATAGGTGAAGTAAAAGAGCACAGAGACGGGAAGCCGGCTCGTCTTCATGTAGCGCCAGTCCCCCCCCCCCCCCCCCCCCCTATAATGCTTTGAGATGAACCCTCTGAGCCTCTGATTGAGGTCCTGGACGAAGAGGAGACTGTTAATGCCTGAACCCCAGAAGCTGCTCCAGTCTCACCGGTTTGGGCGTCTGTTATTCTTTTATGTGAATGAAGCCCCCCCGGGCGCCGTGAGTCCAATTTCATTTAAAGACGTCGGTTTTCTCGAGTCCTTTTCTTGGTGGGTGAGTCTGTTTAGAAGCTGTGGTGCCTTCTTTTGGTATGTGGGGGCTTTGATGTAGTGGACGAGGGAGGGAGGGAAGGGACTGTGTGAATGTGTTAAATTAAATGTTATCTTAGGGATTTCGTTTCTGTTTTTTTCAACTTTCTTTACCAATGAAAGTATGAATAAAGCTTCAGTTAGAGAAAGTGTTGCAAATAATGACAAAGAGGAGACATTGATGTTCGTTGATCTCATTTTTTTTTCAAAGTAAAGTTAAAGCAACACATTTTTCTTTGAAGTGTTTTTTTTTCTTCCTTTTAATAAAACAGTCAAAAGTCTGCTAAATGTTCCCTTGTTTTCATAGTGCTGAAAATGATTTATAGGTGATAATTTGATTGGAACTTAAACTAGAATATGGTGGCATCACTGTGCTGCTCTAGATTATTTTGCATGCGGATTCGACAGTCCAACATCTGCAGATCATTTCAAGCACAATGAATGCTTTTTCTTCTTCTTCTTCTTCTCCCTAAAAGATGTCGACTTAATCGGTTTTATATGAGATTGTTCCAAAGCTTGTTGCATGTTCGTTCTCTGGAGGAAGACGGGCGATGACGGGCAGCGGCGGGTCGTCTCACAGAAATCGGCTTGGACTCTGTAAAATCAGGGAATATCTGTGTGTGAGTCTGTTAACAGTGGTATCTTCTAAACTGCCCTTCTTTGTGACACATCTAACTGAAACAAACCAATTTTTATAGCTCAGAATGTATCACAATGCAAGGAATTACCATGCAGTCTTTATGCTTAATGGACTTACTTTGAATAAAAAAAAACAATAAAGATTTGCAGCTCAATGCCTGCTAGTTTGGACTCTTCTCTGCTGAATTAAACATGGATCATAGTTATATTTATATGTTCTGTCTAGGATCAGCTCAGCTTCTGGTGTAACGTCGCCCTCTTGTGGAAAAGAAGTGGTTTAGCGATCAGAATCAGAAATACTTTAATAATCCCAGAGGGATTTTGTTACACGCTCCAGTTACAGTTTTATATATATATATATATATACATATATACATATATATACACACATCCAACTATACAATATAATAAAGATAAAAAATAAGAATAAAAAGAGATTAAATATATACACATATAGCTCTTCTTTATATATATATGTACATATATCTATGCATATGTAAAAACTAAATCCAAATAAAGTGAAAATCCAAGTAAAGTGATATGTGGCGTGCAACAATAGTGCATAAATGTCATTTCATACCCCATCATACCTGACTGATAAAAAAGACAAATCAAGTAGAATATTGAGCAGAAACATTTATGCACTTTGAACTTTTCCTTATTTGGCAAAAACAGCAAACCTCTGAGGATTATTTGTGATTATTTGCTTATAATTAAATTATAAAGAGGAAGGAAATAGATGCATGATTTCTATAGAAGTTCTGCAGGTGTATAAGTACTTCAAACAGGGTTTGTAGAGCTTGGTAAAAGGTAATATATTGAATGATCTCAAATTAAAACCATTGAAAAGTGCTAGAAGGTAACAGAATGTGAGTTTGTAGTAAATTTTTCATCTTCCCCTTCAACATGTTCTGGCTTTTCCATTAATGCTAACTGTATTTCAAGTTAATTTACCTGTGAAATCTGTATAAAAATGTAACTGCACTCGATTGGTTCTGCTGGTTGACCTGCTGTGTGAAATACACGCCGTTAGAACCACCTAAGAGTCATTTTGTGGCTCACCGTGGGAAAATGTAACTCTTCACAACTTTCGGTGACTATAAAACTGAATAAGTTAGTTGAACTGAATGATAAATGCCTTAAGCCATTTATTTCCTCAGACCATTAAGTTGAACAGAAAAATCTAATTGAATATGTTAAAGTAAAAGGGTAATTTATATTTTAATGTTTATTCTGTAATTTGAACTGAAGACCACTTAGATTCCTACATTTAAAGGAAAAGTTCGGTCAGGAAGGAATAATCAATGGATCATTATTTATACCTAAAACTAATATGTTCAAGGTGATTTAATGAATTTAGCTTTAATCAGCAAAAAAAAAAAAAAAAAAAAACTAATTCGCTGCAATCACTGAGTATAGGAGCGGCCATTTTTGCCCAAATACAGTAACACCTCACTCCTGACATCTTCCGACTAGTTAAAATGACAATGCCCAATACCATCGAACTTCTGGTCAGGAAAGAACACGTGATAAAAATGTTTTCAAGATGACTTGGATAATATCGCGTTGTGACAAACACCAGATACAGCACTGGGACTTGATCAACAGCCGATACCGCACCGTGAGGTCACAAACCGGTAGAGTTCTTTGACAAATATGGATGCCTCCAGTAAAGCACATTGACATGAAAATTACTCTTAATTAAAAACACTTCATTTCTTAAAGGAATAGTACACCCAAAACATGATTAGCCTTCATTTTCTACTCACCCCCATGCTGAACAACACTCTGGAGTACTTTTTTGATATCTCAAATGCATCTGGAGATCTGGGAGGCTTCTTGCTGTCTGCTGACATTCAAATAATGGAGGTCTATGGCGCCCGAGGCAGAAAGGTCCATAAAAGTCCACAAAAAACGTGTCAATATTCCTCCATACTGCTCGTCCAATGTATTCCAAGTGTCCTGAGTGGGTAGCGTCCAGAATTTACTCGAAACGAAGTCATTTAGAATGTTTTTAGAGCATAAACAGTAGTGTATAGGATTTCCATCAAAAAAGTACTCCAGAGTGTTGTTCAGCATGGGGGTGAGTAGAAAATGAATGCTAATCATGTTTTGGGTGTACTATTCCTTTAAACAGGATGTAATAATTTCATACTTAAAGTACTTTCAGGAGTAAATATGACCAGACTTCTCCTTTACGTGCCACCGTAACGTTGATAGTGTAGATATGTTTTCAAGTGTGATGCAGAGTCTTGATTAGAAAGTCAACAGTTCAGCAGTCTGATGTTGGTGGGGAAAAAGCTGCTGCAGAATGTGCTGACCCTGCATTGAATGCTCTGAAGCCTCTTCCCAGAGGGCAGCAGGGAGAACATTGATGATGTTACGGGCTCGGGACATGCAGCACTGGGATGAAATGTCTATAATGGAGAGAAGAGGAGCCCCCATGATCCTCTCTGCTGTTCTCACCACTCTTCTCAGAGTGGTGAGAACGGTCGACTTAAGGAAGAACTGGCCTAACCAGGCTCTACTGCTCATCAATAGCTCAGAGTGTTGAACCCACAGCATAGTTGCGGAAAAAAAAGGAAAAGCCCATGTTTTATTCCTAAAGGGATAAAACTTGACTTGATCTTGGAAAACAGTCTGACCGTTGGAGTTTCCTAAAGCTGGAGCTGAAAGCTGTGGAGGCGTTCTGATGTGGCTGTGAAATTGACACGAGTGCATGTCCTAGCTAACAGTGCTACTGCCGTTAGCTTTAACTCATGTTGCATTTAAGCCTTGTCATCAGAGCTGTTGGTTTTCAACGAGGAATTACAGAATATTTGGTTCAGTTGAGACTTTCTCAGTAACTCCATCAATGTCCCTGATTGTCTAGTAGTCAGGATTCAGCGCTTTCACCGGTGCGGCCTGGATTTTGATTCCCGGTCAGGGAAGTTGTGTTGTAGGTGAAGTGGCAGCCTAGTGGTTGGGGCATTGTGCTTGGAGTTCAGAGGTTTTAAGTTTGAGCCCCACTCCCACAGACTGCCACTCTGGGTCTCTGAGCAAAGACCCTTAACCCCACACTGCTCCCCGGGTGCCGCGCAATGGCAGCCCACTGCTCCCCAAGGGGATGAGTTAGATGCAGAGAGTTCCTTTTGTTGCTCTGTACTTGTGACAGTGGAAATACAATACCAAAAGCTGGAAAAATCAATGGCCAGCATCTGGCTTTTTGGTAGTTCAGCAGTACTGCCAGTAGATGGCGCGATGTCAGTTTATGTCAGCTTATAGCGCCCAGTAAAGTTCTATTTAGGCTCAAAAAGGACGAGCAAAACACTAAAAAACAACATTTTTTTAGATTTGAAATAAGAAAACACAATTGAAATGTCTTTTTTCAAGTGCATTTTATCGAATTATCTTATTTTAAGAGTAACAGTACTCATTCAATTGGCAAACTATCTCATTTACCTACTCAAATTAAGGGTAAATACACTTAATTTAAGACATTTTTACTTATTTCTAGATCATTTTTCCAGTGTAGATGTAAAATGGACTTAATACTAATGCCTGCTGTTTACGTTTGTATGCTCTGGTTCCTCTTGACATCTATGCACTATTGTGTAATCCATCAGAAAATTGTTTGAGCCGTAATGTGAAAAGATATGTTTTCTTTAAGTTAAATTGCACCTTATGTTTTAGTCTGTCCCGATTCTCTAACAAATGCTTTTATAGAAAACATCCAAAAGGTGCATAATTACCATACAAACTGTAATCAACATCTCATGTGGATTGCATTAAATTCATATACATGAAATCTCTAATGTAAATTGGTTGGATTATATTTCATTTGTACTTATTATACAGCAGGTTTTCCTATCTCCTAATTGGCCCCATGAGGGTTCAGTCTGTTCGCTTTTAGCCAGCTGGGGACAGCAGCTGTCAATCAAACTGCTCTTTATAACTCACCACAGGGTCTGCATCTCTGCGTCTCAGGGTAAAGCAGAGCACAGGCAAGAGCTCCGCTATTAACTCCTGAATGACAGCAAACTACTTCTTCTCATCGGACCTCTTCAGCAACCTTTGATCGTTTCTTTGGCTATCACGGAATTCGCCGATTTTTCTTTTTCTTGTGAAATCGTCATCTCTTTAAACATCGATGGATAAGCTGGTTGGAAGCAACGCGACTGTGGAGAACAACTCCTTAAACAAGTGGACATTCAATGAACCTGGCTTGTTCCACCATCGGGACACAAATGAGCTCAGGGTGTTGGTGCCAACAATTCTGGGAGTCATCTGTGTTTTAGGTGTGGCTTGTAACCTCACTGCAATGGTCATTCTGTTCTCGAATGCCCACAGGGGCAAACTATCCCTCATCAATTCACTTATCTTTAACCTGATGTTCGCCGATGGGATGGTGTTGATGTTCACCGTCCCTTTCAGGGCTGTGTCCTACTCCAAGGCGAGCTGGAACCTGGGGTGGGTGGTGTGCAAGACGGCGGACTGGTTCCTTCACTCCTGCATGGTGGCAAAGAGCCTCACGGTGGCTTTCATGGCCAAAGCCTGCAGCCAATATGTGTCAAACCCGACCAGGCAGGTGAGCATCCACCTGGGCGCCATCCTGGTGATTCTCTTCTTCATCTGGCTGTCTGCCTGCTCTGTCACTATTCCACTGTGGCTGTTTGCTGGGATGCACAGAGAGATCCATGGACTTGTGTGTGAGCTAACGGTTCCTCCAGAAGCTAAAGACTTTATGTCTGTGTATGTCAAAGCGTACCCTTTGGCGGTCTTCTGCGCACCTCTTAGTTTTGCCCTGATGTATTTTTGGAAGGCTTATGGCCACTGTCAACGTCGCTCCAGTAAGTCTCAGAACCTGCGCACACAGATTAGATCCAGAAGGCTCACCTTGATGCTTTTCAGCCTCACCCTGGCCATGGCTCTCCTGTGGCTGCCTCAGTGGGTGGTATGGGTTTGGGAGCGTCATCTTGCTGAGAAAGAAACTGAAGGAGTTCAGCCATTGAGTTCCTCTCCTCCCCTTTTCCTCACCCTCTCTGCTCAGCTTCTCACCTTCTCTCTGTCGTTGGTGAACCCTCTGATTGTCCTCTTCCTTTCCGAGGAGTTCAGAGAGAGTTACCGGGGGCTGTGGAGGCGTCTCACCCTGCGCAAACAGCCTCCACCAAAACCAAAGTCTGGACCTCACAACCCTACCTCTCTTCACTCCCTTGTCCCAGACCAGAGACATCAGGGCAGTTGAGGGGAGAGAGGGGGCTCCATCTCAGCTCAAGCCAGGAAATCAGCAGTGAGGCTCAGCCTACGATAGAGCAAGGCAAACCTAGATGGGACGGAGAGGCAGACAGGGTGAGCCTTAAAGACGGGATTGTCTTACCGGACGTTGAACAGTTCTGGCAGGACAGGGAGACCGGATTAAACACAGATGAAAACGATCCGGTTCCGTGGGAGAACCAGACCAAAGAAGAGAAAAAATAACAACGACCTGTGAAGCTAATTACCGAAACACCTCTCCCAACTGCTGCAATGTAAATTATTGTTGTGCTTGTCTTCTCTTGTGTGTACGATATTGTTGAAAGGTAAGAGTTGCAATCAGAGTGAGTGTGTAATACAAATAGAGAAGTGTCATCTGCATATGTGATCACTTTTTGCAGTTTGTAAGGTGATCATTAGTAAAACTTTACTATTATTCGTAAGAAAAATACTTTATTTCCACTTAAAGTCTGAACCGTAAATAGTCAAAAAGCAGCTTTTCTGTTTTTGCCCTTACTTAAACTCAATTTAACCTTAAACAGCAAAATATATCGATGTGTAATAATTACGATTATTAACATAGGAAAGTGGTTTGTGTGTAGATATAGAAGTGACGTTGAAAGGTATTTCTTTACTTTAGATATTAAGTAGATTTATTTTCAAAGTGTGTCTTAATAGAAAATGTTTTAAATAAACATGCCGTCAAAATCCCTGAGTTGGAGTGTACGTTTTTGTCGAGTTGGGTTGTATTCCACGTTGGAGCGATTGGTGAGTTTTCCCACACTAATAGAGACCCTTCATTGGAGGGATTCCCGCAGGCACTGAGTCATTAAGCATGTTTTCATGGGGAAATCCTTTTGAACTACCATGGGTTCTAATTAAAGCTTTCGTCTGAGCTTAGGTGAGGTGTCAGTGGTCTCTCCTGTGTGGTTCTAATTAGCTAAATTTCTAAATTGGTTTGAAGTAATGTATATAAAGACATCTAGCAATGATTTACCTTTAATTACTATCATAAATACTGGTTATTTGGTTAGCAGATAAGATCATGAGTGATCAAATTAACAGAATCAGGGTCATTAAACTGTTAAAAAAGTGTAAAAAATGTAAGAAGCATTAATCTTAGTTCCCTAACAACTGGTGTTTTCTCTCTCTTCCTATGTGACATTTCCCCCTCATTGATTATTAATGTTGACCTTTCATTGCCAGAGGAAACTGACTCAATCAGAACAACACATTACTGTGTCTCCCACCATCAGTTCCCGGGGTTCTGACCCGACCATATATAGTGAAGGTGCAGGATAATGGACGCAAAAACATTTAGCCCTGACCGGGAAAATAATCTACTTTTTCTCTGAATTTTGTGTTACCAGGTACAGATAGAAACTAAAGGTGTTGTTACAGCTAAAACATTTGATGGTTATCCCCCCCTCTGTTGTTAACACCTCTGGCCTGAGCATTTACCCTGTTAAATCAGCCGGTAAAACTACAGCAGTGGGATTTGATCCAATTTCAGCACAAAGCCTCGTGCCTTGTAGTGTTAATTTTAGCAGCCATTTTTAAATTTAGTTTCAGGCCCTGTCAACACAAAGCCAAACCCTGGCCTAAACGCACAAATTTTTCACCAAACCAGCCTCTCATCCATACGAAGCCGGCGTTTCGGGGGTCTGTAAACAATCTTTTTTTTATTCAGCCTTCAGAGTGGGAAGATTTTGAAACGCCGTTTTCACGTTCTAACCTTTTTTCTTTTACACGCATGCGTCATAGCGTCGCCTCTAAACACGCATGCGCGACACAGTATCAAACCAACAATGGCGCCGTACTGTGTTGAATGGTTGCTGCTCATGCTACTCACCCTGCTGTCGGGCTTACAACAGAATCTTCTTCTTCTGGAATATCTCCAGGAAGAACAGAGCAATATCGACCACATAGTTCAGCACCTGAATTTGACTGAACCACGAAAATGGACCCGCAGGGCAACCATGTATAAATATTACTGCGCATGCCCAAAATTTCGTCGCCTATTTTTGCTTTGGCACCACAGCGCCACTTACAGGCCTGGCATACATTTTGCAGCGTTTTCATGCATTGATGTGGTCGATCACATTTATTTTACGTCTTCGTCTTTACGACAAACGTTCTGGAAAATATTAGCGTTTCGTGTTCGTTTTGACTTCGTGTGGACGGGGCCTCAGTTTTAGTCCGGTTTCAGCATCGCTTGTTAGTTTTTATCACATTTAGTCGACATCATCCCATTTTTATTTAGTCTAGATTTAGTTGACTATAAGTCGAGCATTTTAGTCTTTATTTTCGTCCAAGAAAATATAATTTTATTCGTTTAGTTTTAGTCAACAAAAAACGTCAACATTTTAGTCTAATTTTAGTCAGGACATCATTTTAACCTTTTACTTTTTTGTCAGCAGATAATATTTAACATTTCCTAAAATTATTTCACATTTCAACATTTTCTCTCATCTTTTTGATAAAAAAAACACAATTTTAAGGAACAGATGCAGACATGGAAGATGTTCTGACAATATTTGCATATTTACTTTGAACATTGTTAAGGTTCAAAGACACAAACACAAATGCTTGTATTAAAACAAATGAAATACACCTGACAAAGGAAACAAATAAATAAAATAAAGTGTCTTATGAACTTAACACAAGTGCTGGCTGTTTAAAGCTAGTTCACATAGAATAATAAAATAAATAGATTTGAGGTCAATTCTGTGAGAGAAAAAACTCCAACTGATACAACAAAAGTGCCAGCTAGTTCACATGGTATATGAAGGTACAGTATTTAAGGTGGAACAAGGCAGAGCTTGCTGGTCCTGAGAGTCAGCTTTGTATTTGCTGTGGGCAATTAAGGAAGCTTGTATAGCTGACCTGTCATTGTTTCTGGGTGGTTGTTGGTGTATCTTCAATCTGGAACAGAAATTAATACAATATCAGTGTAGATGCACACCTTGGAATCAACAAGATAAAAAACTACGAATTAAATTGATATAAACAGTACAGTACAACCTGAACTTATACTTGGACCTCTATGAATGAGGTCAAACATATTTACCTTGGTTTTATATCGCAGATGATCGCTGTTTTAGAAGACTGAATCATTTTCAGAAGATAGTTGTACTAATCATGATCTTTAACATACTAACTGTGGTTTGTTCTGAATTTTCCTCTCAGTACTTTATGGTCTGACTTTGCAAGGTTGTCCATATAATATTTGATACTTTCTTCTTAATAATCAGTCTTGTTAAATTCAATTCAAATTAATTCAGTTTATTTATATAGCGCCAAATTCACAACACATGTCATCCCAAGGCACTCTACAGTTCACCAGATCATCCAGTCAAATTGATACAAAGTTTTCTATCTAAGGAAAACCAGTTGATTGCATCGACTCATTGACTCAAATACAATCCCTCACACTAAGCATGCTTGTAGCGACAGTGGAGAGGAAAAACTCCCTTTTAACAGGAAAAAACCTCCAGCAGAACCAGGCTCAGTGTGAGCGGCCATCTGCTGAGGCCCACTGGGGTTCAAGGAGACAGAAGCAGAGACACAAAAAGCAGCTGTAAAAGGCAGCCGCATCACGGTCAGAGAAACAGGACCACACTGGAAAACAGGCCGATCTCCAGCCTCTATAAACAAGGGTGTTGATGGAAGCAGCACAGCTGATGTTTCTTTCCAGGATGGAGTCACAGCCAAACAGGAACAGACCAGATGAAGCTACTATGAGAAAAAGCAGAGAGAGCAGAACGTTAGAGATTGAACTAACAGATTCTGCAGAGTGGGAGAATAGAGATAGAATGAAGCAGAATGATGAAATGGGGGTCCCTATGTCCTCCAGCAGTCTAAGCCTATAGCAGCATAACTATAGAGATAGCTCAGGATAACCTGAGCCACTCTAACTAGAAGCTTTATCAAAAAGGAAAGTTTTAAGCCTAGCCTTAAAAGTAGACAGGGTGTCTGCCTCACGGACTAAAACTGGTAGTTGGTTCCACAGGAGAGGAGCCTGAGAACTAAAAGATCTGCCTCCCATTCTACTTTTAGAAATTCTAGGAACCACTAGTAAACCTGCAGATTGAGAGTGAAGTGCTCTGTTAGGAACATAAGGAACAATCAGATCTCTGATATCAGATGGAGCTTGGCCATTTAAGGCTTTATATGTGAGAAGGAGGATTTTAAATTCTATTCTGGATTTAACAGGAAGCCAATGAAGAGAAGCCAGGATAGGAGAGATATGATCTCTCTTTTTCATTTTCATTAGAACTCTGGCTGCAGCATTTTGGCCTTCCATCTACAGTTTGTGGACTTCCTGATAGTAAAGAATTACAATAGTCCAGCCTTGAAGTAACAAATGCATGGACTAGTTTCTCAGCATCACCCCTGGACAGGATATTCAGAATTCAGTTTATTTGTATAGTGCCAAGTCATCTGAAGGCACCTTACAGTTCACCAGATCATAGAGTCAGATTGGTTCAAGATTTTCTGTCTACAGTGCATTAAATGATCTAGAAATAAGTAAACATTTCTTAAATTAAGTGTATTCACCCTTAATTTGAGTAGGTAAACGAGATACTTTGCCAATGGAATGAGTAATTTTACTCTTAAAATAAGATAATTAGATAATATGCACTTGAAATAAGACAATGCCATTGTGTTTTCTTATTTTAAGTGTAAATTGTCTTGTTTCTTTGGTAGAATGTCTCTTTTACCTCCTCAATTCAAGAACAAATGCACTTATTTTAAGAAAAAACGGACTTATCTAGATTAAAATTTTTTGCATTGTAAGGAAAACAGGCTGATTGCTTTGACCCATTGACTCGACAGCAATCCCTTGCACCAAGCTTGTTTGTAGCGACAGTGGAGAGGAAAGCTCCCTTTTAACAGGAAGAAACCTCCAGCAGAACCAGGCTCAGCAGGAGGGGCCATCTGCCGAGGCCGACTGGGGTTCAAGGAGACAGAAGTGGACAAAGAAGAAGCAGACAACCAAACGGCAACCAGCACAGGCGGCCTTGTCTAGGTAACACACAACCAGTCAGATGAGCTCCGAGCCAGCTCCCATGTCAAAGTACAGTATGAAAGAGAGCTTTTACAGTTAGTCAGAGAAACAGGACTACACTGAAAAACAGACCTAGCTCCAACATCTATAAACAAAGGTGTTGATGGCAGCAGCACAGCTGATATTTCTCTCCATGATGGTGTCACAGCCAAACAGGAACAGACCAGATGAAGCTACTATGAGAAAAAGCAGAACATAGCATTTGAGATTAAACTGACTATACTGTAAAATGGGAGAATAGAGATAGAATGAAGCAGAATGATGAAAAAGGGGTCCCTATGTCCTCCAGCAGTCTAAGCCTATAGCAGCAGAACTATAGAGATAGAGAAGGATAACCTGAGCCACTCTAACTATAAGCTTTATCAAAAAGGAAAGTTTTAAGCCTAGCCTTAAAAGTAGACAGGGTGTCTGCCTCACGGACTAAAACTGGTAGCTTGTTCCACAGGAGAGGAGCCTGATAACTAAAAGATCTGCCCTGAAAATTTTGACATTATTAAAATTACCTTACAATCTTTCAAAGGTTCTTAGAAAGCAGCAGTTTCTGCTCTAAGGTGACACTGATATCCTCCCTCTTTAAACTACTGCTTCCTTTATTGATGCAGACATTTCTATTTACCTTTCATGAAAGACTCAGGTT